GAGGCTCTGGTCTTGTAACCAGAAGCTCTGGTAAGTGCCCAATGAGGAACCAGAGGATCGATGGACGGATTGCTTAGTATTTTTCTAAGTGTAGAGGTTGAACCAGAGGCTCTGGTCTTGTAACCAAAAGCTCTGGTAAGTGCCCTATGAGGAACCAGATGATCGATGGACTGATTGCTTAGTATTTTTTTCTAAGTGTAGAAGTTGAACCAGAGGCTCTAGTCTTGTAACCAGAAGCTCTGGTAAGTGCCCAATGAGGAACCAGAGGATCGATGGATGAAAAATCTATAATATTCTAAGTTCATATGTGAACCAACAGAGGACAATTGGAATTTCAATGAGTTGTCAGAGAACCGATGGATAAGAAATCCTACTCTAAGGACTTTAGTGCAACTAGAGGCTCTGGTCTCACGATCAGAAGCTCTGGTAGTGTAACCAGAGGTATTGTTCAGAGGATCCAGCATGATTGTCACTATTAAGTATTGTTTAGAAGCTTCCATTGTATCACTAAGCATTTGTTAGATGGTGCATTTTAGTAATTAATATTACTAATGTCGTAGATCTCTTCGATGTCTTCCGATCCTAGTGAATACTCAGCCGATGAATCCGGTTACGTGGTTGGTCGCTCTAGGAGGAACTCAGCTCGCGATGAAGAATTAGACCCGTACGAGCAAGAAACGGCAACTAGTGAAGCAGCTGCCACTCCGCAAGCATCTTTCTTACCCCCAGCGGAGCCAGTACCCAATGTCCCTCCACGAACTTATCATGGCTCAAGGATCAGAGTTACGCCATGGAAGAGCGTTCCACTGCCTCGGAGAGTGACATATGAGAATTCCTCTAGAGTAAGAGGAGAACCATCACAACCACAGTAGGGGCACGGGCTATCTCAAATGGTGTCTGGAGTGCCTGCATCATATGCTCAGGGCATGAGCCCGGCTGAACGAGAATGGGTGCAGAGGATTGCATCTGATACGCAGACTCACCAGACCCGGCTGGGATACCATCGCCACATCCTTAACAACCTGTCCGATGTGATGGAAGCACACAACCAGAGTATAATAAGGAACAGAGAGGCTACTGTTGCAGCCAGGCGGGAAATTGGGAAGTTGTATGGATGGTTGGTAGTTTGTGGTATGATGATGTTGATATTGGGAATAGCCATAGGATGGATGTTATTCTAGGATGGAAATTAGGGATAGAATACCCACTCTTTTGCTTAGTCATGTGAGGTGTTGTTTTCATGGTTGTAACCGTCTATGAATACATGGCATATTTTGAGAAATGTTCTATTATGACAAGCCTTTATGTGTATAAATTTAAGTCACGTGGTTACATAAAAACTTGAATATTTCTCCATGTGATGAATACCCCCTTACATGCATTGCTATATTATCGACGAATTCCCTCCTGGTTTAGGCCTGAAAGATGTCGCTAAGGAGAGAAAATCCTGAGATTGCACGACTCGTGTCAGAACAACTTTTGGTTGCACTCCCCAGCATAGTTAGTCAAGTGGCTGCTGGCATGAATGTTAACCATCCAAATAATCTAGAGCCAAGGACGACCAGGGAATGCACTTAAAAAACCTTTAGATCTTGCAACCCCAAAGAATTCAATGGAACTGAAGGAGCAGTAGAATTATTATCATGGCTCGAGAGCATGGAGTCTGTTCTTCACATTAGCAAATGTACTAAAAGAAATAAAGTAGAGTATGCGGCATGCCTATTGCAAGGAAGGGCACTTACCTGGTGGAATACTTTAGTACAAACCAGAGGCCGAGAAGCGGCTAACCAACTCTCCTGGGAAGAATTTAAGAAATTGCAAAAGGATGAATACTGTCCAAGAAGCGAACTCCAGAAGTTAGAAATGGAGTTATGGAATCATGAAATGAAAGGAGAAAATATAGCTGCCTACACATATCGATTCCATGAGTTGGCGAATTTAGTACCTCATCTAGTAATGCCAGAGGAAGTCCGAATAGAAAGATACATTTGGGGATTGTCTCCAGAGATTCCGGGAAACCTTACCTCGGCAAATCCAAAAACTCTCTAAGAAGCAATAGACATTGCCACCAAGCTCACGAATAATGCGGTCCGA